AAAAATGCTACCGTCTACTGGCTATTTAAATAAGATAATGTTTTTGCTTCTCATTGAGTTAAATTTACTATTTTGATCCTAAATTACGCATTGAGATTTCTGTTTACACTTTAACTGAATTTATTTCAGTTCAAGTAATACTGTAATTTTATGTTTTGGTTTTGCTTTTGTGTATTTATTGCGTCAAAGCATACTTGGTAGATTTTGACTCAACTTATTCAGTTAAAGTTTGGGATTTTTACATATACATTTTGTGTTAACATTTTCAGTTAATTTTTAGGATGGTCGGCTCTTCTCGCAAATATGCACAGCGATGTTGCTTATTCCCTGTGGTGATGTGATGAGTGTAAGAAGTAGTTGCTTAAGATGTGTGCCCCGTCGAGCCCCACTGCTTACAAAAGGCGCTCAAAGACTAACCCTCATCGGCTGTATGTTTTGTTGTTCGGGCAAAACAGTACTCATCCAAGAAGAAATTAACCTTCTGGAGTTGGCTAATGAAACGTTTGGCGAGGGCTGTACCGGCAACATGGGCACTAATAGATAAAATTAAGGTCAGCGTCATAAGTGCTATCACCTCATGTGCCGGACACCCAACTGTGCAACACGCAATAGTGCTTTCTATCCCGGAACAATTAATGAGTGATAAGACATTAGAAGTTTGTGGCCAAGTTGCTACAGCAGCGACTGATGGTCAGGACAAAACCATTATGGTCCCGATTGGTTCCAATATGGATGTTGAGGATGATGGGAAATGGATGACGAGGGAAACGTAGAAGAGTAGGAAATGTAGCGAAATATGAAACCCGTTTAGTACTTGGTGGACTCGCATTCTGAGCGTCAGATTACTCCTCCAAAGTCTCAAAGTAGGACCTCATCAAACGTCGTTGTGAGTTATTGGCTCTCCTCCCACGACTCTGTTACAAGGGAAGCTAAGGGTAAGATACCAGCAATAACAGGCAGGATCTGACATCGCAGGTGAAAGCCGTGAATACAAATTTAAACGAAGATAAACACGTTCCTGGTTTAATTATTTGGAATCTAGAGGAGTCGAAAGACAATGACCCTGATAAAAGACACGCACACGATCAGAAACTTGTGGAATCTGCGGTCAGAAATATACTGAATGAAAAGGTTTCAGGGGTACATAACACGAAAGTAATAAAACTCGATAAATAGGTTGGAGGCGAGACCCAACCAAGAAGGTTCTTGAAGTTAGTACTCGAGAATTTTGAAGGAAAAGACCTTATATCGAATAACGCACACGAAATTCATGATTCGACTATTCGTAGTCGACCAAACTGCCCGCTTAAGGATGGAATCAGGTGGAAGAATGCTCTTACGGGCTTAAGAATTCGAAAGCTGCATGGCAAAACAAACTTTACGGTTAAATGTTTTCGGGTAGTCAGGTCTTGGAAGCTTTTAAACATTTAATCGATATGTTAGTCAATCGACTGCCATTGAAATATTTAAACATTTACTCAATAAGAATAGTTCAGTTAATTAACAAGTATACGGTAAAAATATACGTATAGTTTTGGTCCACAAATGGATCCTAAAATTACCATTCATTATTCTTGTCGGACATCGCAGCATATGATAGCCGTACTTGTCCAAAATAATTGTTTTCATATGTTGAACGGAGAACAAAACGCGGTGATGTTATTCCTCCGTTACCATTAAATGAAAATTCAGATTTACAAGCTGACTCAGATCAGGCAAACTAACTTACGCCAGTCACTCCTCGAAGAGGAGCAAAGGCCGCCCACCAGCACTCGTCATCCAACACTGTCCTGGGTTATTCTTTCCAGCTCTTTCCAGTTGTTATTCAAACTTTTCATTTCTCCTTCTATTTCCCAACGTAATGTGCTCTCTGTCCTTCCTCTTCCGTTGGTAGCCGTATTGTTGGGCGACCTATGCTTTTCCACGAGGGTTAAAAAGAGTATGTAAGTATGAAAGAAAGTCAAAAGTAAAAGTAAAAATAGTAGGTGTAGTTTTATTGGTTGGAATACTAAATTAATAATTATATATATATGTATATATATATATATATATATATATAGGGCTTCGTGTAGCAATATGCTTCTTGGTCCTCCTCATTTCCACTTCCCTTCAGGATTTCAAATTAGGGCTTACCTCGTGATGTAGTTTGATGATTTCCTCAATGTATTACCTATCCACTTCCAACGTCTTTTCCTAGTTTCCTCTTCAGTTGGAAACCGGTTTGTTTTCTCCCAAAATAGGCTGTCGCTGATGGAATCCATCCAACGGACATTCAGTATCTTATGTAGACAATTTTTTATAAATATATGTACCTTTTTGATGATGTTTGTAGTTCTCCAATTTTCAACTCCGTACACTAGGACTGTCTCGACACTTGTATTGAATATTCTGACTTTGGTGTTGACAATTATAGGAATGCGGCCCTTGCTTCGCCAATCCTCACCTTTGCACCTGCATCGGATCCTCCTTGTCCATCGATGATACTACCCAGGTTACATGAAGGTTCCTAAATCTGCCAACGTCTCTCCATCAAGTGTGATTGAGTTGATGTTCTCCATGTTGTATTTGAGGATCTCGCCTTTTCCTTTGTGTATGTTGAGGCCTATTGATACAGAGGCTGCTGCTGCATTAGTTGTCTTCATCTGCATTTGTTTGTGTGTACGGGATAGGAGGTCTAGGTCATCTGGGAAGTCCGAATCGTCTAATTGATTCTGAGCTGTCTATTGTATTCCGTGCTTTCCCTTAGATTTCGAGGTCTTCATAATTCAGTCAACCACCGGGAGAAAGAGGAAGGGGTAGAGTAGGCAGTCTTGTCTGACTCCGGTCCCTACTTGGAATGCATCTGTGAGTTGTCCTCTATACACGACTTTGCACTATAGTCCGTCGCGTGAGTTCCGGAAAATGTCGACGATCTTCTCAGGAACTCCGTAGTGTCGAAGAAGTTTCCATAGTGTTCTCCTGTCCACACTGTCAAACGCCTTCTCAAAGTTGATTAAGTTGATATATAGTGACGAGTTGCATTTAATTTATTGCTCGACGATGATCCGTAGTGTCGCAATTTGATATGTACACGACCGATCCTTGTGGAATCCAGCCCGTTTGTCTTGAATTTGGGCTACTATTCCGTCTGTCATCCGGTTCAGCAGCATTCTGATAAAAACTTAACCTGATAGTGACAGTTGTGTGATGCTCCTGTAGTTCTCTTATTCGCTCAGATCTCCCTTCTTTTGTATCTTGATGAGGTGTTCTTCTTTCCAGTCCGTCAGGCCTTGTTCTTCCTTGAGATCTTGAATAGAGTGTGAAGCATGTTTGCAGTTACTTCAGTGCCTGACTTCAGTGCTTCAACTGGTATATTGTCAGGTCCTGCTGCGTTCCCACTCTTGATTTGTCTGATGGACATCCTGATTTCTTCGATTGTTGGTGGAGTGACATCTGTAAGAAGGTCTGTGTGTGATGTTTCGATGTCCGATGGATTTAATCCGACCAATAAAAGTACACCTACTATTTTTACTTTTAATTTGAACTTTCTTCCATACTTACATACTCTTTTTAACCCTCGTGGAGGAGCATAGGTAGCCCAACAGCATTCTCCACCGGTCTCTTTCCGGGACAATACTTTCCAGTTTCAGATCGCTATTCATCCTTTCGATGTCTGCTTACAATTCATGGAGCTGATCTATTCATGGTTTCCTCAAAACAATTATTTTTATCAAGATTTACTGTTTCAATCAATCCTCTCATATACGCTTTTTTTATGCCAACAGAGCTAATTGATGATTGATTATTATCAAATTAAGCATTGAAATACTGATTTGAGTGAATAACTGATTTCTTGAAAAGAGTACCAAGCTGTTCTATAACTAATTATGTCAGATGATTGAATTTTTTATTATCGCTATTATTTTAATTGTTCTATGCTATAAGTGATTCACTAGAGTACAATAATTACCTATCAAAATTTCGATTGACATTCCTCTTAAGAATATGACTTTTCTTACATACACAAACGTATATATGCAAAGAACTGCTTGTGCTATATAAATAAAGTATATATTCTTTTTTAGTCATAGAAATGCTCTTTTCATAAAAATCAAGATATACCCCAAGCAATAAAATTAATCAAATAATAATTCTAAGAATGCGATGACTCAGTAATTTAAGAAGCAATCAAATAGTCAATTATTAGTGTAATACCATGTTATAGGTTATCGTTTAATTGATTTACTACGAATGCTTTCAGGGGGGCCTATCTCGTGATATAGTTTGATGATTTCCTCAATGTATGTCCTACAATTTTCTTCGCCTTTTCTTTATTTCCTCTTCAGTTGGAAGCCGGTTTATTTTTTCTCGGAATATGCTGTTGCCGATTGTATCCTGACGACGGCCATTCAGTATCTTGTATTGACAAGTAGTGTAGGGTCGTTTTAAACTTTCTTGCGACGAGAGCTTATAACGTGTAAACCTTTTCATTTGTCGTATCGTAGGACGCGAGGTGACCTTTAACAGGCATTTCGTATCTTTAGTTATGATTTGGGTCTTAATATGTCGTATCTTTTTGCTTCCTTCAGCACTAGTAATTTCCGTGGTCATAGCAAACCGTGATCTAATAAACTTAAAGTGAGGTCCCATTTTTCTCATCAAGTAGTCAATGACTAGAATGCCTTACCCGAACAAGTGTTTCCAGCCCCATCACTGAATATTTTCAAGGAGCGGCTAGACCTTCACTGGAAGACAATCTGTCAGGACTAACAAGCTTCACCAACCCACTATCCTTAGTACTGAAAAGTGTAAATTCACATAATGGATATGATTATGCAGGTCACTAGACGTTTGCCTGGTGAGAGCAAACTCATTGCTTTAAAAAGTTTACTGTTTGTTTGACTAACAGATCACGGTTTGACTTTCTTATGATACACATCAGAATGAACTATAAGTAGAAGAAACCAGACTTGATTAAGATTCGGGATCAAACGGTTTTTACATGTAATACACGACGAGTTCTGATGATAATGCATATTGAGACAGATATTCACTATTATCTTATATGAAGAAAACCAGTGATGTTTTATCTTATGTTTCTGTTTTTCAAGACGGTGTTTTAATTGCTATGCTTTGAAAGGTACTGGCTTCGGATTTTCGTGCTCTCAAGGTTACAAAGAAGTTCGGAATGTCGACGTTTAACGCTGGCCCAGCAAATACAGGAGCTGCACCGTATGTAGAAATTTTTTATATATTTCAAATAAGTGTGGAGCTCACTGCAGGCAAAATCCGTGAAATGATGGCTAATGCTCAAAGAGCAATAGCCCAACGGAAGTTTGAGCTTGGCTTGGTTGGTTTCGTAATTTTTGAAGGACTTAATTTATGGTTAGACGGAGAATGGTGCTGCCAATGGGTTGAATTTTCCCCCAGGAGTCATTCCTGATACAGAGACAGTTGATAAGATGAGGCGAGCTGCTCAGCTACAAGCACAAATAAACGCTCGCTTGAACTCAGGTATTCTGAGTAGCCACTCTGTGAACAGTGACTCCAGGTAAAATAGTGATACATCTTTATCCTTGTTCACTAGGAAGTCGAAGGATATTCCTAAGTAAGTAGATCACTATCAATTTACTATCTGGCTAGTGTGATATTCGACGAGCAAGGTAAAACTATCGATGCTTCTACTGGAGAGGAAATACAGCTTACCCACTATACACCAACACTTAAAGTATGTAAATGTTAAAGCAATTATGTTTGCAGGCCAATCTCAGAGCAAAACGAGCTCAGCAGTTCAAAGAGGTTCTTCAAACCACAACTCAGAAGAAACCTCAGAAATCTTCAGTTTCAACCATGTTCTTTGATCCTCGGCTGAGGTATAACCAGTTAATAATGTAATTTTCTCAGAGTTAAAGCTGCCTCACGTCCAAAGCGACAGCTGAGTTTCCACGAACCTGGAAAGTTTGTCAAAATGGCTCAGCGCATGCGAACCAAGTTCCAACTCCAAGTCTTACAGGAATCTGTTGCCCAAGCTGTCAGAAAAACTGGTATTGCTAGTGCAGCCAAACTGTCGACCATCCAACCCAAACGTTCCGTTGACGAAACGGATATACCATTACTGGAATGGTGGGATGCTTATATTTTAAAGGAGGGTGTAACTAGGTGGGTTGTTTTTCATAATTTTATTTTCCTATCCTAGTTACTCTACTTTAGACGAACTAGCAATCCATGGCCTCCCCGTCTCTGCTGCAGTTAATAAAGCATGGATCACAAGTTTGGTGGAACATCCAGTTAAGTTGAAACCCCCAACTGATCTGTCCAAGCCACCGGAAATACCATTACTCCTAACGAAAAAGGAGCGTAAAAAGCTTAGACGTCAAAACCGTCAGGAAGCTCAAAGAGAAAAGCAAGAAAAAGTTAGACTTGGTCTAATGCCACCTCCTGAACCAAAGGTTAGTTTAAAGTTGTAAGTATACCGAACAACCAGTCCTTCATTTATGAATGAAAACTGGGTGGTATACCAGAGTTATTATATGTTCCCTCAATTAACCGCCTAGTGCATTTAGTTAGGCTTAAGAAAATTGAATTTTGCTGACAGGAAGACAATATCCTTTCGACTTGATATAAAAACTTCTTTACTGTTTACGCGCTGTCAAGTGCCTTCTGAGTTGTTTTTATGTGTGGTTCGACTTAAGCAGTCATCGGAATTCGAAGTAAATCCTAGCAACTCCCGTATATCGTCTGCTCAGCATGCATCGTTTCTCAAAACCAGACTATTTGAGAATGCAAACCGTCCCTAAATTATTTAGATCCTTAACATTTTAAGGCATACTCAACAAGTTCAAACCTTTAGGGTTCAAGACTTATTTTTAAGATGTACGTAAAATAACGCAGATCCTTCTATGTATTCCACGTTCGTCAGTCACTTCAGAGTGACTAATCACGTGAACGTCCCCTACAGAAGTGATCTAGTTAAGTAACTCCACAACGACGTTTTAAAAGTTTGGTGGTTGGATTTACTAATGATAGATGCAGTTCGTTATGGTATCATGGTCAAGATGCTTCAGGTATACGTTCAGCCATCCTGTCATGAGCTTTTACTCACACTTAACATCCTTTAGTGTATGACTCACATTTTATTCAGTTCATTTTGTAAAGTTTGACACTAGAGAGTATAGTATAGTTTCGAAATTTACACCAGTTGGGTTGTGACATTCCGTCCCTTCATTTATAAGGACTACCATTGATTGCTATGTTCATTAGTACAAAATGTCCTTCAAATTAAGAGAAACTGTCAAGTCTTGACTTGAATTTCACTCGAACTAATGTAAAAGTCACTAACGTTTTGTTTAATTGGACAAATATTGGTACAAAGGGGCACAGAATACATATACGCCACACAAGTCACTTGATTTGTGTGTGGGCTGTGATACCCCTTTAGTGTCCAGGCCGAAGTAGGTGGTTCCCTTAAGAAGCCATGTTCCGAGCCTTCAACCTAAAGGTCTGATCCACAAGGCAGTGGAGCAACGTCAGGAGATGCCGTCTCATGGTAGCCGGTGACCAACAGTAGGTTCATACGCCATTTGTTCCTTCAGGATACTGGAGCACATGTGCACCATTAGTTTGGAATCAGGGTTTTCTAACTCCCCTAAGTGGACTCTCGGTGTCCACCAACCCGGTTAAAGCGCCGGATATTCACTTTTCGTCCTCTCAATTTCGTAAACAACACCCCCGCAATGAGAAGGCAGTGGGGGGGACTTCCCTGGCAGTGGCTGTATACGCGTGGCCATGTGAGAGCATTTCGAGAGGGAGAGCTGACTCATTCCACCCTATACCGTATCAGGGCATTTGAGGGCTGACGTTTTATAGACACTTATAATTTGTTCTGCAGAAAAGCTTGGTAGAATAGCGAACTTCTCTCAAGCCCAGGTGGAAGATATCAGCCTCCCATGTAAACCACAACAAAACATTCGGTAACGTATTGACAAGCCACCAATTTAGCTTATTTTTCGGTCGTTTGACAAAACATTTCGAGTAGTTAAAACCTCAAACCTAGTGTTTCAGTTTATTATTATTATTAATGGTTTTATTCAATATTTATTTCGGTACAATATAGAATTCTCAGCACACTAAATTACTGGTTTAGGTACACAAGATAGTTGCAATTGACAACTGGTGACTTCTTGTGGATGGTAATTGGTTGTATTAGAGCTAGTGTACTTATGTTTCATCTCCTAAACTAAATGTCGCATCATTTTATATATTTTATCCTGTGTTTATTTCTGCTCGTTCTTTCATTTAGTTATTGGTTGTTTTAGTCCTGCATCCCTTTCATGTTGAGAAGTGTAGTACTCTAAGTATTTTTAGTAGGACAGTTAGAAGATGGAGTTGATTTCATCGTTATGTCAAAATTTATAAAAGGGAATAATTGCCTTGGATCTAAGTAATTGCCTATATTCATTCTCAGTATTTAATATGAAAGTCATCAAGTTTCTTATTTCTAAGTACTGCAAGTACATTGGTGACCCATACTTGCGTATCCTCAGGTTTATGAAAACTACTGAGTCAATTTTATGCTGTTTATTCTATTGCCGTAATGATTGCCGATGGACATACACAAAAACTCCCAAGAATAAAAAATGTGCATTCAGTTGTTCTGGTTATGCGTTCTGGTATGGTTAAAGACATCAAAGCCTTATACTAAATATGAATTAATACGAATGGAGGTTAAAGAAAACGTATCTTAGTGTGTATAGACTAAATTTTTAAAAGATCGGTTTAAATGAATAATGTGAATATGGTTTGTTTTATTGTTCTGTGGATATTATAAACTTACATAGGAATCCAGTCGTGCTGGTGGTGCTGATTACAGTATTCCTTGTTTTATTCCCAAAAGAATAGATAACCGTTCCATTCATTTACTCTCCGTTCATTTCGTTTAATTGTCATCAGGTCCGTTTGGCGAATTTGATGAGAGTCCTAGGGTCAGATGCTGTTCAGGACCCAAGCAAAGTGGAAGCGTATGTGCGAGCCCAAATGGAATCCCGGAAACGAGCACATGAAGCTGCTAACGCTGCCCGAAAATTAACAAAAGAGCAAGCTCGTTACAAACGTATCAAGAAAATACGAGAAGACACAACTCATGCCGTTCACGTAGCTGTTTACAGGTAATTCATTTGTTTCTGTTTGAATTTGTACAATTTACTCCCGAATTTAGTCTTTGAGACACCACATCGTTATGTAGAACAATAGCAGCAGTTGATCAGGTTCATACTACATAGTAATTACATGGTATGAATGCTGTGGTTATTGCCCCGAGTTTATAATCACAAAGCAGAAATTTTTATAAATTTATTGGAGCCTCTGTTTATTGATATTGAGTATAGTGGATATACAGTAACAACATTAACCATTGAATGTTACTTTTTAAAAGTAAAACAGGGACTATAATAGATGTTTTCGAATCCAGTCCCACCAGTGTAAAATGCTTTAGTATGGGCAAAATAGTGAATGGTAAGTTTATACTGATCCATCTCAAAAAGCACCTGGAATGACCGGTGTGTTGAACTATCAACTCTGATATCATCATTTTATTAGTTACCAAAAACTGGAGTTGATGAAATTCGTCAGCAAGTTAAACTATAACAAATGGCTTTGATCACTGTGGCCGTTTAAAAATGGTACAGGATTATTGCGTATCTTTTTAAATCTATATATCTTTCGATATTACCAGTCAATATGTTTTATATTTGTACTACTTGTCTTCTTTAGAGTAAAGGATTTTTCAAATCCATCTCATCGATTCAAGGTAGAGACAAATGCCAACCAGCTACTCATGACAGGGTTAGTCGCGCTACACAGTGATTGCAATGTAGTGGTTGTAGAAGGGGGACCTAAACAACAACGAAAATTTCAACGTCTCATGCTTTGTCGAATAAAATGGCGTGAAGGTAAACGTGGGACAGTTGGTAATCCGTCGGGTTCTTTCTCCCACGAAGACCGTGCTGCCACATCTGAACTTGACAGTGACACAGGATGTCGTTTAATTTGGAAGGTACGTTTAGTCGCTTAAAATCTCGCTATATTTTTTTCTTGATATTTACGTTTGTAAAACTGTTATAACTTGTGGCATGTATGTCCTGTTAATGTATAACGTAATGATACCACCAATTAGAGAGCAGTGAATTATTGATCAGACCAATGATGCATAAAGCCCGTGCGCGCAGTCCAGAGTACTTATCGGTCCTGCTATCTGCTTAGCCCAGCCAGTTAAGTCTAGAACACCGATTTCAGCCTCTGCGATATGAATCGTTTATTTCAAGCATATTGGGTTTGTATACCAACCAGACAGACCACATCGTACCATAAAATGGAAAACAACATTTGTGCAAGATTTGGTCAAATGTGGCTGTGAGTGTGGGAAGTAGTAATTAATAGACGGTGTAATTCAAGAATGGTAAATCGTATAATAATAGTTCATAGGTCAAAATAAGGCTCATAATAAGAGGGGCATGAATATGAATAGTTTGGTTATTTAACAATTATGCGATAAAAATGTACTCATAGTATTGATCCATAAATGGATCCCAAAAGTTACCATTCATTACGCTTATCGGGGCATAACAAAAACTCCATCATGACTCTCAACATAATTAAAACACTAAATAGATGCTACTCAGCAATACCATAGTTTCATACACTGACCGTCTTTTTAGTTATTATTGATTTCTAGATATATCGGATTTTCAACCACATGTTCAGTGAGATTAAGTATACTATGAAGAAGCTGTCTTAGCTTATTCAAAGTACTCTTGTTCTTGTTAGATAACTGGAAGATAACCTTAATGAAAGTAGATTGTTTGAGTTAAGAGATTCGGAACATTCTCCCTCTTCTGATGCAATGTGAAAGTTGTATGTGACTACCAATGATTCAGAAGTTATCGGTAGTATGGATGGTATTTATTTGTGACTTATCTCAATACTGATCTAGATTCTTTAGGGAGAATCTCCAACCCCTAAAACTTACTATGAAGTTGGCCACAGAAATTTGTTTTAAACAGTCTCACTTCCGATTTTTCAGAGTCATGCAATTGGATTCTGTTATGAACGTGTGATCCACCTATTAGAGAGCAGCGTATTATCGATCGAAACAGGGACGCATAAAATACAAGCGAGCAGCCTAGAGTCCTGATTGGTCCTGCTTTCCTGTCTAGCCCAGCTAATTGAGTCCAGAACACAAGTCTCAGCCTCGGAGATATGAATCGTCATATTTCAAACATACACTGTTTATATACCAAACAAACAGACTACATCGTACCATAAATAGAAAGTAACATTTGTACAAGATTTAACCTTCAGGAAATGACACAAATAAATATTGACCAATAAGGAGATGACACGTTGGAAGAATATTGACCAATGGGGAAATGACACAATTTCTCATTCAGGAATAGCATTCGATAATTTCTGGGGTATTTTCTGAATACCCCAACAGATTCCTAGTCTAAATATGCAACTACGTGTTGATGTGGTCAAGTACGCGTGCACTTAATGCTAGTATTTATAAAGCTGGCTATATAGATGAATCAGTGTTTACCATGAAGTTCCGTCTAGTTGTGTTATATCTCAACCTGTGAATAATAGGTGAAAATGTTTTGATTGACTTAGATGTTTTCATTTGATTGGAAAAACAGGTTAGAAATATGTTCTTTGGCTTCGACAATTTTTATGTCATCAGAGCTTTTCAGAGTCTAATGTTTTAGTTCTAACATGTATTGATGTTTAATTTTGCTATTTTTTAGGGTACAGTCAAACAACGCGCATTCGATAAAATTCAATTCAAAGCATGTCCCACAGAACTTTACGCACGCGAACAATTTCGTAAACGTGACGTGGAACACTATTGGGATCTTGCATATAGTGGAGCTATATTAGAAACTCTTGATAGCTAACATGTTTCTGTCAAAGATATTCTATTTATAAAGTGGTATTTCTGGTGTAAATACAAATGTACATCTTTTCTAATGTTTTATTGAATCAGTGTTATGCAATAATGTGTTGTACAAAAGATTTCATTTTTTTTGGTAGATGTTGAAATGCTTATGAAAAGAGTAAGATGGTTCATGTTGCGTTTGAACACTACTATTTTTGTTTTACATGAGTTATGTAAACACCCGTTGATGGTGACAAACTGTTGTTTGTTTTGTTATAAACATGTTTCTGTCGTTTTGAGTTCCAAATTTTTCTTTTCTTTTGTCTATATATACGAAAGTTTTTCGATTCGTTATCTAATTCTATTTTCTCTGCACATTGTGGACCATGTAATATTAGTCTGTTGTCTCGGGCTATCTTACTGCGAGCTGTAGATATCCTGTGGACAAAACGCTTCATTTTAATAAGTTGGGAAGTGTATTTTGTAAAGTACTTTTGAAATAATTAGGAATATATAAATATTGGTTTCTTATAATTTCTGCTGTCGGTTATGCAACTCCGTGGCTTAAATCTGATGTTCAGTTGTTCACGTCGCCTAACCATGATAAATATGGGAGATTATTTTACTAGTATGTTAATAATTTTGAGTGAACCACCGTAGCTTGCAGTTGTTTCATTGTGTGTATGTGAAGGGGAGACCAGTTATAGTGAAATGATCTTTGATTGATTTCAGTGATTGTTTGTTTACTGAGTGGTAACCAGGTGAATGGCGTTCTCCCGGCCTCTGTTTGTACGTAATAATGTGGAACATGTTTGATTTATTGTATGTACTAATTGTAGAAATAAATTAATTAGTAGTCAATCTATGTGAAGAAGGCGTTAAGGTTTATCCACTTTTACATTTAAGTTAGATACATTCATCGTATTATGAGTAATTCACGACAAATCTAATTCCTAAAACGACAAGTATCTGTATCTTTTATGCACAACTACTACCTTTTATTTTAGTCACTGACCCTTCTACATCGATAAACTTAATTTATTTGTTATCTGTGTAATTACTGGAATGAAGTATATGAAAATCAAAGAATTGTATGATAAGTGTTTATGGTCATCTTTTTAAGGAATAAGTAATCATTAATTGTTCTTGTGGATATTACACCGAATGCCGGATATCAAATAAGTCGATGTTTTCTAGTACGTCCAACTGTATTGTGCAAATACTCGGTTGTTTATTTGCTTTAACCAAATCTATTGCCGAAAAACTGGAAAACTTTCTGTAATAATTGTTCTTGGCCCACTTGTGTCGTACTAATTGATCATCAACATTTTCACCCGGTTTATCGTTGTTAGGTATTTCAGATAAATGATTTTCTAAGATTACAAAGTATACCTTATTTCTTTGAAGAACCACCTATCAGTATAATTCTAAGCACGACAGTCGCATATATAAGTACTGCGAACTAATTGTTTATCTCAGTACCGGTGATTTTGAATAACTTGGTTTAATCTGCTTCGAGTCCAACTGGAGCATATCGAATAAGAAAGGAGAGTTTAAGTGTAAAATTAAGTAATAGAGGAATTATGACGAGACAGTTCCAAATACTCCATGGAGGAGTTCGTTACTCCTTTGAGTAGTATTGTAATTGAGCTGGCTTTAGTATGGAAACTTATCGAAGAAATTATATTTCACTCCATTTTGGGTCACAAATAGCTGTTTATTCCTAAATGTTTGTGCATTAGCCCTTTCTACATTTAAACAGTACATAATTTTGTACAGCAAGTGTCTCAGAATACCCTTATGGTTTCTCATACGTTAACTTCTTTATGGAGCTCTATAAGTGATTGCTGAATTAGTCAATTCATTTTCAGGCTGAACCAACTATTATTTTTTCTTCATTCAATTATCCAATCACTAATTTAAACAAGGAGCGTTAGTATGTTGTTCCTTTGTTTATCTGTTTGACAAATTTAATATGTAACCAATGGATAAAACTACAAAACCGAAGATACCCGAAATAATAAGGCGTAGATAATTCATAATATTAATTGTTAGTGGAAGTTTAATAATCGCTTGAACATGTAATGTAGATTTTTAAATATAAATAGTTAAGACTAATGATAAACTATTCTCATATTGTGTGTCACTGCATATTTCTTCACACAGGAATATTGAGAAAGCATATCAGAAAGACATTAGGAGTTTCAATGACCCCTAAATATTGAATAACCAAATATTGAATAACCTTTTTTTGCATATGTTTTCTTAACCTAGTGGGGACTCATTTAATTCTGTTACTTGTAATACGAAGTGAGACTGTTTTCTTTACTGGATTGTTGCAAAACATATATAACGTAGTAGGGTTTCTCGATAACACTCATATATTTATGTTTGCTTTCATCGATCTTCTGGTTTGTTAGCCTTAGACGAATAGTATTACTAAGATGGTTTGAATATTCTTTAGAACATTTGAGTTTAAAAATTTTTTGTTTCTTTATCTTATCTAGTTCATTTAAACCTAAACTAAAAGACTGTATTAATGAATAATAACATATATCAGTGCATAATAATGGGAATGATAATTATAAAATATTTATATCTAGTTTATTTTAGAAAAATAATTCACAACAAAAGCTGATCATACTACTTATAGTTTTAGTATAATTTATACAAGTTAACATATGATGATGTTATTTAAGTATAATAATGTGACAATATTTTATTCTACATTAAGACTTGTTGCATTACTTCTCATAAAATATTTTTTTAAAGATGTATTTCTATATAGAAATATATTTAAAAAAATTGAAAATGAAGGTGTTTTCTACCGAAAAACACATTAAAAAAAATAAGATCGTGTAAAATCTCAATTCCATGAAAAGAAAAACAAAAGCAGGAATAATATTTAAGCAATAAATTTTAATCAATTTTTATGTTATTTTAAAAATATTAAATAGGAATACATTTCGTATCAGAAGAGGTTTTTGTGGATATTATAATAATTTCAATAGTTGTGATTATAAATCAATCAAAACTGGACCACCATGGGAAACTTGGAAGCATTGAACGGCCGTCTCGTCCTGTTGTGGAACTCTTCAGCAGTGCGTGTCCACAATCCCGCTTCGAGAGATTCGAACCCAGAGTCTATCAGTCTCGCGCGTGAACGCCTAACCACTAGACCACTGAGACGGCATCCAACGGTGTTTACATTTATTGGATGTGATTATCATCACGGTTTGATTTGATAATTTCGAATAAATTAAGCATTGGATAGATTGTTATAAATAAAAATAATATATTTGTAATATATCGATGAGTAGAAAAATTAAAGTTTCCGACGTTTCATGACTTAGCGTAAACCACTTCTTCAGAAAATAAATACGTGATTATTAATGGATACTATTTTGGGATAAAGTAAATCATTGAAATTAATTTTGCAAAGTAATCCTGTTTAAATCTCAATCTTTATAAATCCATAGAAATATTATTTTCATTAGTGAATGAATTATTATTATTATTATTGAGGATAATATTGTGATTTTTTGATTTACTTTAAAAATACAATTTTTACAATTCTTTGTTTTTTTCTTTCTAGATTTGATTCTGGAACATAATTTTAAAAAAGAGAGTAGGACAGTTTTAAATAGACAGTAATTAGTTGGATACTAAAAACCGACCAATTAATTAAATTAAATTTTTTATGGGTTGAAAGTTTTCTGTAGTTGAAATTTTCTAAAGTACAAATATTTTCTTTTTTTTATATATTCTCTTCATAATTCTTATTAATGTTAATTCAAGTTATTTGTATAGATGAGATATACCTTGTTTTATAAAGAAAGATGGATGGTGACTAGCAGTGGGATCCTAGGACGTGCGACAGCCGGATGTTGATTCTTGTGACTTAAGGCAATATCGAGGCAATCCGTAGAGTATGCACGTATGCTAATAAGAGAATGATCAATTGCAGTCCTAAACATTAATGAGATGATTCAAACAAACAATACAAAAATAAATTAAAAATATCTCGTTTTATTTATCCGATTTTCCAATTAGTTAGTTTTGTTTGTACTTTTTAAACTAATGAAAAAGATTTTGTGTCTTATGAGATTGGGAATAAAAGTTATTTTGAGAAAAAAGTGTTCTAATTTTTATAATCTCATTATTACTTACTCCTGTTGCTCCCAATGCAGCATAGGCTGACGATCAGCATTCCCCAACCTTCCCTATCCGGGGCCTCCCTCCGCCTGGAGCCCTTCTGGGGCTACTGCAGGTCCCAAGCTCGGATAAAGGAGGAGGGTTTGGTATGAGGTTAGCGACCTCATCCCCTAGAAAACTAACTCGCTAAAAAAGGCCAACCAGAAAAAATAATTCAAATCTCATTTTTAAATTAATTGATTTAATGAGGATTGACTTTATGAAAAGAAAATGAATAATTTTTAAGTTGTATGAATATTTAAGAAATACTTTGATAATATTAATAATTATGGAAATTGTCAGCGAATGATTATATTTATTTCCTATTTGACTGAAGACTGCTAGTACTAGACATTAACACCGTTGGGTGCCGGCTCAGTGGTCTAGTGGTTAAGTGCTCGCGCGCGAAACCAGTAGGTCCTGGGTTCGAATCTCGCAGGGGGCGAGGTCGTGGGTGCGCACTGCTGAGGAGTCCCATAATAGGACGAAACGGCCGTCCAGTGCTTCCAGGTTTTCCATGGTGGTCTAGCTTCAACTGACTCATGATCTTAATCATTGATATTTCATTTAATCAAATGAATTTATAGTTAGAATAGTTGTCTAATGAAATCAATAATATTAACTTTTAATAAATGTATTTGATAAGAAAAAAAATCTTCTGAAATCTAACAAAAAAATTTAATCTAATTAATATTTTTGTCATTTGGATTGTGCATTACTTTCTAATTGAATTGAATTGACAGTAGTATGTAGTGATTTGTTTTGTAAAAAGAATGTAATACGAGTTACTAAAAATCAGCTATACTAAAGTAAACTTTACATATTGTTTTAGTACTTATTTTCACATATTTAACCATAACTTACATTAGTTACCTTATTTTTTACATTAAATCAAATTTTAATGTCTGCAATATACACATTAACATCAACATTTCCCGCCAGAAAGGTATAATGCACACTTGATGGTTAGTTTTTATTAAATGGAAGGTAACTAACTCCCATAAACGCTAAAATTGTTTTCCAGTTTTGTTTGACGTAACAGTGATAAAGAAATACATTACTACATAATCTTGATAACTTAAATAGTAATTATTACAATTTCAGCTTTAGATGACTAGTACCTTTAGTAATCCTATTGTTCATGAAACATAATGATGAATAGAAGAAAATTGGGCTAAATTAGATACTTTTTTCCCTCATGCCATTGTCATATATCAAATCCTTTTAACTGAATATATATTTTAATGAAAACAGTGCATATATAGGGTATCAAACACATATTTTTTAGTTTTTCCACCTAGTTGTTTAATTAGATACCTCTGTTTTGCTTTTTCTTATCGTCAGATGTGAACAAGTAGTTTTAAGTTAAGTATCACTAACCCGTTTTATTTTACTCGC